GATATTTAGTATCAGGAGGGGGGGATCACATGGTTAGAGATGAAATTTAAGAGGAATCAATGAAAAGACATTAATTTAAGTCCTGGAATTGAGAATATAAACCAAATAGTTAGAAAATAATGAAAACCACAAGGTAAACAGCATACTTCTGCAGCACTATACATACAACAATAAATACCTGTTCAGCAAACCACTTACCTTTGATGCAAACTCAGATTTCCAAAATGCCAAGGCATCATCAAGCTTCAGCCCAACACCCTGAGCAGAGGGAATGGAGAACAACGACAGAATCATGAGAAAGAGGAAAGAACTAAAAGCTTCATGATTTATCAGCATGCAATATTTACAGCCGCTAATATTGACCCTCATATCAATCAGGTTTAGAGTTTGCACTGAAATTTAATTGAAGTTGAACCTCTTCACCTATTATCAATTGGTATAAAAAAACACAAAGAAAATGTCTGAACACGAGAATTAATGCATATCCAACAATGAGACTGGTGTACCCTGCCATTGCCTGATTTCCATGGGAAAGATCTTTATAATGCTACTGTTACAGGCAACTATACTGAAGACAAATCATGTTAGTAAAGTACAACCTTCAAGAAAAGACCTAATTGCATCCTTCCACCATGCTTTAAATGATGATCCTCTCTGACCTGAAAAGTAAAAGATATAGACGAATTATTTTATTATAAAACAAAGAGACAAAAAATAATGCTAACCCTATTTCAAAATCAATTTCTTACCTTTTCAAATAAGTGACGCATACAGAGAGGAAATGAAGTCTTAGCAATATGATCAATGTCCTTAACAGATATCTCCCCAACTTCACTTGGCTAAAATATACAAACAATCAAGTTCAGAAAAAATGATCTTATACACAAAACAGCTATAATCAGGCTATTAGATGAGCTGATACAATGATATATAAGTACCTGAGAGTAATCAGCACCCAGATAACTTGTGCATAGTGCTTCCACAATCTAAACAACAAATCAGGTAGAAAAAGAAAACATTCAAAATCAAACAAAATGATATTTCAATAACAAGGTTCACATTCCAATTCTTACTGGAGCCAGGCGATCCTTCTCCTGTTCTCTAACAGTAGACGTCCATTTTCTGCAAGCAAGATTGCATATTGAAACTTGGTTAACACCATGAAATTCGAATGAACAAAGCAGAAATTTCAAAACAGAAACGGAAATGATGTTCAACAGCAGCAACTTGGTTGTGATACATACTTCCTTTACCTTTTAAGAATATTAATATGTTCATCAAAGAGAAATTAAATTAATTAATAAGATGGATTTCAGGAGCTCCATGCTGGTATTTAAGGTACTTATACGAATTTCATGGTGTTAACCAAGTTTCAATTTGCAATCTTGCTTGCAGAAAATGAGTACCTTTGATAGATAACCTATAGCATGGTGTCTTTGTGCATTTATGTATGCCTTTGATAGACATACTCGATGCTTGACAAAGACCAATGCAGATGTTCACAAATGAATATAAGGCAACATTCTGGAGAACTTAATGGACAAAGAAGAAACCTGTTTGTTAAAATGAGTGCCTTTGATAGATAACTTCGAATTGTGTGACTACAAGAGAAACCACCTGAAAAGATTAAATGGAAAAAGGGGGATAGCAAGTATGAATACTGATACGGGTTGATGATATTAATTTTTTTTAGGTAAGATTAAAAGAAAGTTACTACCTGATTCATTGCAACATAAGCATGCCCTTTGTATATAAACACTCGACGACCAGCCACAAGTTCTGGAACTTCTTCAAAGGGAACCTTCATAGGGTGGAAGCATGCACAAATAAGCCAGTTAAATCTAGAAACCAAATCAGATTTTTACGCTATGATTAACCCTGCCTACGAAGACTAACACGGGACCATCAGTGTTCTCTCTGAACCACACATCACCAACCTAGAATGATAATTATATTTAACACTGTTTAATCATGACCCCTTTATTTTTCAATCCATGTGCTTGCTAATACAGGTAAGTGGCCAGTGCAATCTATATACGTATTTTTGGTACAATTGAAATAAATAATTACATAATATTAACACATGGCTACAGGAGATGACTTCAAGTAGCAAATCAATTCCTTTTCACAAGGGAAAGCTACCACTGCTTTTTGTTTGAAATGAAGAAGAATCAAGAAAGCACAGTAGTACCTTGTAGAATATTGCATCAACTGCAAAAATAAAAGGAAAACTAATTATTGAGGACATTCTGGAGCAAAAAATCAATCGGATGTCTTTGAAACATCCTCATTCAAAAACCTAACAGGCAGGTTAATATAACAACTAGTGATAAGCTCAATCAAGGATATGAACGCTCATGCTTCACAATGGACATCACAGGAGAGAGATTCCGAGTACTTAAAATAGAGAAAATATAAACATCAGATAACATGTTAAACTTATTTTTTTTCTGTTAGTTTTCAAAAAATTTGGTCAAGCATGCTTGTAACTGAACATAGCAGTCATATGAGAGGTTTCCCGGCGATAGAATAAAATTTAAAGGTCATATGCATGATAAAATGACTGCAAAATAAGAAGTGATGTAATAAGACAGATAAATTTGTGCCTTCCATGTAGAAAATGGACATAGAAGCCAGACAGTAATCTCATACCAGCAGCTAAAGTCTGACCCATAGAGCGTGCAACTTGGCCCAACTTATCCTTCACACTCTGCCGATAAAAAAAAACAAATAGCTCGGGTTACTAGGAACTCAAAATCTAGAGAAAATAAAAAGGCCTCATATGTACTAATGTAATAAGGTTCAAGCAATTGCATCTTGCTGAAAACAAATAGCTCAAGGGAAGTAGAAAACAGTTAAGAAAAACTACCTCAAATTCTGCATTGCTGACTGCCTTGTAGGGAAGCTTAAACTCAGACATCAATGCCCTCTATGACATCAGCATACAAGCAATTAACATATGCTTGAAAACAAGAAAACCCAACACCAAAAATAATGACATGTGCTACCTGTGCCTCAGAGCTTTCAAAGCGAAAACGGTAGCGAAAGAGTGTAGTCTCCATGGAAAAAACCATTTTCTTAACTCCTCTCTAATCATAGCAAGAAAAAGAATAATAATGGTAATTAATTTAATAATTAGAGAAGAATAAAGCAGAAAAGACATCAAAATAGCATGATCTTACGTTCTACAGTACACAAGTCGTAGAACAAAGTGTGATATAACATCCTTGTTTGCTTCCTCGTTTGCTTGTGGATGTCTCATATTTGCTTTCCAAGATCCGCTACCTGAGCAAAACCAGTATGTGAAACTGGCGAGGAAAACAATTCAATTGTTACAAAGAAATGTGAACATAGTCAATAGTGTTACCAATTTTTCCATTTCTTCAGGTTTCTTTCCACGGCCCAATCCATCTGAGATACCTTTAAGAACTGTATCGAGCAATTAAAACAATGAGATAACACAAAAAATCAAATATGAGACTTTGATAGAGCTGAAACATTGAACCTTTAATCATGAAATTAACTATATTTATTTTTGGAACTGTCATAAAACTGAAACCTGATATTCTGGATCCCTATTCTTTAACGTTTCGTCGGTAACAAACCAGTGAACAATAGATATTAAAGCAAAACCTAAAATATCCGTACGAGGCGGTTTTTGTTCCCTTGACAAATTAAAGGACTAGAAAAATAATAACCGATGAAAATAGGGTACCTCGGAGGCGACCCATGGCGAAGAGCTCGAAATCTTCGAGACGTACTTCGAGGGGAGGTGCGTATCGGTAGAGAGGAAGAGTGGAAACGTTGACATTGTTGGAACTGAATTTCCTATGAGATTGAACTACTTCCATTTCTTCGATCTTTTTCTGTGTATAATTCCGATTACTGAGATTACAAACGACGTTTTTCTTTTTCCCTTTCTTTCAAAAAAAAAAATTAAGGGAAAAGTACAAAAGCGCGCCAAAAGGTTGAGAGTATATGGGAAATTGGCGGGAAACTGACTAGAGTGCCGCTGGCCTCCAAATCGGTTGATGTAATGCGACTCTCTCATCCCTATTAGTTTGCTATAATTATAAAATAATATTTGTATAAAATTTCTTCAATTATTTGTTATTATTTTACGAATTGATAGAACCCGAGAATCTCAATATTATCCATGTGTATAATGAATATACAAGCGACCGTGTTAATCATCTATCACTCACGCGAACCTATTTTAGTGTAATTAGAAAGATTATGCACAAATACGTGCTATATTCTAATCTGAATCATCATCTCTTAAAACAGTCAAGATTGATGATATGATAGATCTAAACTATCAATCAGTATTTGTCATGTTGTCTCTCAAAATAACTAATCAAAATTAATTTCGAGCAGCTAATCAAGACCGATGACATAACAACTCTTAAACAAGACCAAGATCGAGACATTATAAATAACCACACGAGAGATACTAAAAAGCAATATTCTAAACCCTAACAACTCCCGAACTGTTTCTCTCATGGCTCAGATAGCTATCCGATCACCTTCTAAGGTTGTTGACTATTTTACCAATCAACATTATTAATAATATACATTTTACATATACAATTATTTGAATTTAAAGAGAATAGTATTTCTTATTATCATTAGAATTACTTAATTAAAAGATGAATTTAATTAATAAATCATATTTTTCTCACACTTTGACAATATTTTTCAAAATGCTTTTCAATTCAATAAATAACCGATCATAAACACAAAAAGAAAAAGCTTTTGGACTCAATTTGAAATCCATTTTGACAAGCCCACTAGAGAAATAAAAAACCTATGGGATACGAGAACAAAAGAACTCTTGACAAGAGTTGTATACGCGAATCAACTCTTGACAATACATATTCTAATTACTTTATTACTATTCGATCTTTCATTACAAGAAATGATCTAAAATATGATTTGAATCAATGGTTTAAATCTAATAATGCATAATTATTTTATAATTTATAGACAGTTTAGGGTAAAAAATAAAATAAAACACGGTGGTGTTAATTAAATGGATGAAGTGTAAATTTGCATTTGGCTCAAGATATGCTCAAAGTTGTCATTGGGTTTCTGGATAGGATGCGAATGCATGCCTTCGTAGGTTGTCTCAACGATTCCTTCGTCTTTAGTTAATCTTTGAACTTGTTTTTTCACGTTGCATCCTTGGTGTGTACATCGATAATAACTTCTGCAGAAACAAAATAATGTATATTATTAACAACCAAACAAACCAGGGAGTAAAACACGGGAAATGATAAGGTGCGGCAGCCTTAATATACTATTAAAAAAATACGTTATCGATTTTGTTATTATTTAAATAACAAAACCGGTAAAAAATTACCAGAAACATTATTATTTCTACCGGTTTTGTTATTATTGGGCGCTTTACTGGTTTTGTTATTTTTTTCTACCGATTTTGTTATTGTTGGACACTTTACCGAAAATGTTAAAAAACATTGATGTTTAGGTAGAAATAATAATGTTTTAGATAATTTTTTTACCGATTTTAATATTTAAATAATAACAAAATCGATAACACCTTTTTTAACTATATATTAAAAGTGTAGCACTGTATAACATCCCGTAAAACACATCTTAGTTGTACACATCTTTTTTTTTTGCAGTACGTGCGGAAACAATCAACTTAATGCCGAGTTCGAACTAAAATGCAATATAGCAATAATTGATGTCACTTCAATTAGAGAGATAAATATTTGATCGAGTCGAGTGAATAAATATTGGGTTTATAAAATTTACAAATACTATTTTATCATTTAAATTTTATTAAAAAAAAATTTAACTCGAGTTGAATCGAGTATATTTATTTGAATTTCTATTCAAATTTCAATATAATTATTTATAATGTTACGATACTCGTTGATTATAATTCAAGCAAATATCTCTAACTATTTATGATAAATATATTTTTATATTTTTTACATGTATCAATAAAATTTGTAATATTATTTAATAAATTAAATGACTTTGAAAATTCCTAACTAATTTAAAATGAAAGGAAAAGAGGCTCTAGGGTAAAAAGATATTCCTAACTAATTTAAATTTATGAGAGAATAAAAATGAATAACTTCTTTGACCGACTAAATATACAACATACTTTTAGCTAACAAGTAATACTATCACTGTGTAATTAGCTGATAAATTAAAGATAATAAACAAGAAATTAGGATTCTTGTTTAATACTATCACATATTTTAAACAATATATTGTAATTAAATTTAGAAATATATAAGAGTGTTAACATACCTTGGAAATTTGTTGTTCTTGACAACCTTCTGACCATATTTTCTCCATCTATAGCCATCGTCAAGTATATCAACTTGGCTTCTGGTTTGGAAAACATATCTCGTCTTCATCGTCTTACCTATTTTCACTCCACTCTCAGTGCCTAATCCCTTGTTTTCATGACCAGGAACTCCGGCCGCCGCCATTAATCCCGATATCCCATTACCTCTGTCACCATAACCAAGGGAATCCGTGAGGTTTAACGACAAGGGCATGGATGATGGAAATGAACCCTCGAAATTTTCCATCTTGAAAGACATATAGAGGCGAAGAAACTCGGATAGAAAACGATGGATGGATTCAGGGAGACTGGTTCGTACTTTAATACACCATGCAGTGTATAAAGAGAAGAGCGGATTAAGAGTGAGAAAAAAAAATGAGTTTTTTGTAAAGGTTGGAGGAAAGCAGGAGAAGCTTAAAGATAATGGCGGCCCGACGGCTAGGCAGCCATGCCGTTTGTCCCATGCTAGTAGCGTAAACGGCACGTAATGTATTATAAATAAAAGAAATTGGTAGAACAAATAAGTTAGATTATTTAACTTGTTTTATTGCCCGTTTAATTGTATGTCAAGAATATTGGACGACTTTTTAATGATTTGGTCGGGGAATAAAGTAATTTGGGCACTTATGAAGATATTGCTATCAAACCATTTACTATTATATTTATATTTAACATGATCCAATCGTAAAATAGCATGTGAGTACTTTAAATTTAGATCTTCATAAGATTTGCTCAAACTTTGAACATTAAGATTTTATTATTATTTTATCTATGATTCATTGAATGCTCTTGTTAGGTTTGAATATATAAACACCTATTTATGAAATGTTATGAAATAACATACTATGATTCATTGAATTTCATGTCTAACTTATAATGTATTGATTAAGTATATTATAATATGTTCCATCAAGTTTCAACTATTTCACTATGCTTTTCAAAGCTCGGTCTATGTTACTGCAATTACAAGAGTTTAATATAGATAAATTGATTTCATAATTGTATTTATTAGGGTCACAAGTCAAACTCTGATCAATATATATATATAAATCTTCTTTGTCCTTAAACTCGGAGGGAAGGATAGGTCTTGGTGATCATGTACCTTTTTTTATTGATAAAATTCATTTTATGACTAAGAAAAAAAAGATTACTTTAAATTGCGGCCACCGAAGGTTTAAAAATAATTCTCTATGAAGATAAAGTGGTAGAAAAAGATTCCGGGAAAGTTTTATTTGATTCATCTCCACTAGAAAAATAAATAAAATTTTTAACTTAATCTACTCAAATTTTCACTAATTAATTGAATGTTTACCCCTACTAATATAAGTTGATCGAGTCTTAATTTAATTAGGGTGAAGTACACAATGGTCTATTGACTATAGGATAATGTTTTGAGTCATCCGACTATTAAAAGGTACAAATGAACTCCGATTATTGGGAGTTGCTTTGTTGAGTTCCTTAACTATTAAAAGTTACAAAACTGGCACTCAACTATTCAATATGTTCCAAACTCGTCCTTTTCCTTTAAAAAAACTTACGACAATCTGAGTTGAACGTCAACCAGCTGGATGATATATGATAAAATGATCTCATAATCTAAAACGACTATCATATCTCAGTCAACATTTTAACGTCCGGCTCAGACGATCGTTACCTTTTAACAGAAAATGACGAGTCTAAAACAAAATGAATAGTCAGGCAAATATTTTATAACTTTTAATAGTCGAATGACTTAACAAAGCAACTCTTAAATAGTCGAGGAATCATTTTATAATTTTTAATAGTCGATAGACTCAACAAAATAATATCCTATAATCAGGACTATTTGTGTACTTTACCCATTTATTTAATATGATTATTATTGCAACATCCATGAGGATGTTTCTTCAAATCTTCTCAAATACATAATATTATCTAATTTAAAAGTTTTAAGTTGCTATATATAAACTAAGCATTGTATAAAAAATACTAACATAATATTGAAATTCAAACTTTCTATATTATAATAAACGAAGTAAGTTAAGTTACATAATTGAATAAATCAATTAAGTTACAAGTTTATTATTTGGATATAAATATAAATTAAAGTTCAATCTTCAAAACAATTAAACTAGATTAATGGAACTATTGCTTGTCAGTGCTCTTTGACTGGAAAGGTCAAATTAATAGTATAGCATACCTATAAAAGGATTTTAAGGTAAATTATATATTTAGCCACCCAATTATTATTTTAATTTCGTGATGGTCACCCATTTTTTCTTTTAAAATTATATTTAACGTTACGTTTTGATCATCCACTGTTAAAAAATAACAAAACCGTTGACATGATATTTTTTCTATTTTTCAATGATGACATACTTATTTTACGATGACACATTAACATCACCATTATTTTTTAATATCATGTGAGCAAAACAAAACCAAAATCTAATGTAGATATATGTTGAAAAAAATATTTAGACGACTAAAATAAACTAGAGTGATAATTCAACGATTAAATATGTAATTGACCCATGATTTTATTTGAATTTATATAAGCTATGGTCATAGGCTTGTTGTCCGATTAAAATTTATGGTGATATTCCAACGAATGAAAATGACAAAACATGCATGTATCTGGTCATGCAGACCAATTTGAACAATCATAGTTGAATATTATTCTTTTTGAAATATTCTTTTAAACAAGGAAAAGTCATAAAACAAACATTACTACACGTGGTTTGAATTTCCTGTTTGGTCAGTGACCGCTATAAAATATACTTATTGCCGGAGGTACGGTCGCACTCTAGTACTTTAAAACCTCTTACATTTAAATATTTTTTGATATTTTATATAAATTATCTAATTATCTAATTTTATAATTTATAATTTTTTACTTTATTTTGTTATTACTTTATATCTTAATTATTGCTTTAATTATTATTATTATCTTAGTCATATAATATATATATATTTTTTTTAAATAATAATGTTTATTATTTTCGATATCAAAAAAAAAGGGCAGTCCTAATATAACTGGATGTCCTATTCTGGTATTTTAAATAATTAATATTATAAAAAATTATATTTAGTTTATTTAAAATATTAAAATTTTAATATTTTTATTTATTAATATCAAAGAAGAGAGCTATCTTAAGATACCTAGAACCATTTCTGATATTTTTGAATAAATAAATATCTTACTATATTAAAATAAATTTTTGTCATAAAAAATGTTTGTCATTTATTATTTAATATTAAAGAAAAGAGCTGTCTTAAGGCACCTAGAAGTTCTTTTCCCGATATTTTTAAATATTTTTTTAATTTTGAAATAATATAATTTAAATTAATATATTTTGAATTTTTTTTTAATAATAGAGACAATAAATTAAAAAGTACCAATTTGGGCGTTGTAGGGGTGCTAATCCTTCCCTAAACGTAACCGACAACGAATCCCTTTTTATTATTAAAAAGACAAATTTTTGGTTAAAACGCAGATCAGTTTATCTTTTAATTGATGTTTTCTTAAAAACTCTTTTAAAAGATATTTTTTAGGTATTCGACCTACCTGACCCAAAAGGCCGATGGCGACTCCCAATTATGTAAAAAAAAACATTTATTCACATTACTTTTCCCATAAAGTTAATATTTCGTGCCCGGACGAAAACCGGTTACGACTTGGCGACTCCGCTGGGGACTCAGTTGTCAAACTTTTAAAATCAATTATAAATTGCTCTACTAATTAGAAATTAAAAAAATCATTTATTTAATTTTTCTTTTCAATTTTTTTATTTATTATTTTCATATATTTATTATATTTATTATTTTATTTTCAAGTATTAAATTTCATTATTTATTTGTTTGTTATAGATTTGAATATTTCTCCTCACACACAACACTTGCATTGCATAACATAAAGCTCTATAATTGAGTTGTCCTTTTAAGTGGGAGTGAAAGCGACGTCTTCGTGAGAATTTATTCTCCGTGTCAGACCTAGCAAGTAACTTTCAGGGTTCATATGCTCTATGTCTTCGTGAGAATTTATTCTCCGTGTCAGGCATGAGAAATGTGTCCTCTCGACTTGAACTCGATCCGCTTAAGTCTGTGTGGACTAGGATTGAGGGTTGGCAGCCTAAGGGGCACTAACAGTACAATTCGAGTACCTTTACTCCTAGAACTGAAAACCTGCATATAATAAACCCTAGAAATTCACCTAATCTAAGACAGTACTGACCTTTGTTCATAGGTGTACACAAAGGAGAAATAAGCTCTAGCTTTTAATTTATTATTATTCTTTCTCCCTGAATAAATCATGCGAACTAGAAATCATGCGATTAGGTTATTTTTTTCCAAACAAAGCATAGAACTAGAAAGCATGAGGTTAGGATTTATTATATACCATGATAAATAAATATTTTCTTTCAATTAGTTGGTATTAACCATTTTATTTTTTTTCTTATTTTCCCATGTATGTTATTTTTGCTCTAATTTGTTTAAATTATTTTCTTTTGTTTGCATTGCATGATCATGACCAAAAGGTGTTAACTGAAAAGACTGTTCATCAAATTAGAAAGAAATCATAAATGGACAAAAAGTTTATGATCGAACAAAATATGACACGGCCAAGAAAAGACATCCTGAGGGAACTCTGAAGATAGAGAAGAGCTATGCACCCAAAGATTGTATGCCCATTGAAGAGCAAAAGGAGATACGAGAAATAAGAGCAGGTGTCCAAAATGATGGATAGAATATCTGTTTTGGCCAAAAGAGAAGATTTCCTGCACAGAAAGAGAGAAAGCTTAATGAACATAACCCTGCAATCTCAAATATGCAAGGGACTTCTGATCCTAATCAATTGGAGAAGTTACAGACAATCATCATCCGTATTCACAAGTCATCTGGAGATACCAAGAAATGATGACAAATTGTAAAAGCTCTCAGAGAAGAGAAGAAATCATGTAACCTGAAATCATCGAAGTTTAGTATGCTCCCGATATCTAAAACTCAGGTTCAATCCAAGACAAAAGGCGGTTCTCATATTGATGCTATACCTATATCATATAAGAGTTATATGAAAAGCTACTTGAAGCACGAGAAGTGGATCCATATTATATAAAACCGTTCCAACCTCCGTATCCAAATTGGTATACATCAACGTTCACTGTGAATATCATGCCGGAGCTCAAGGACATCCATCGAGAATTGTCTTGCCTTCAAACGTCGAGTCCAAAGTTTTTGGATCATGGAACCTTACAATTTATGGTAAATGATCGACCTAGTTTG